TCCTCTTCAATTATGATGATATTCCCAATCCATGCATTAATACACGTCCTTGCGTTATTGTTGCTTTACATTAGCGTTTGAAAGTGTTACACTGAGTTGGACACTGCTGCCTCTCCTCTGCAGGGTTTATTCATTAGCTTAGAGGATGTTTGCATGATGCTGGTCATCTGGGTAGTCTGACAGCCCAAACATCGACTTCAGCAGACCGTAAATAAATAAAGTTGAAAAATGAGCCTGCTAATGTGCATAATTTGGGCCATTCAATGAGCTCATCGGGCTGTCTCTACAACAGCATGGGTCACGATTTAGAAATTAGCCTTTCGATATGAAAAGGACATAACTTCAAGAAGCTGTTCAGCTCCCTCAAGTTGCTGCTTCATTTGTCATCTCTATAAATTCCTTTCTTTAAAGAGCTGTTTAATCCACACAACCATTTAAAGCTCTGTGTGGGAGACTTGATAGCGCAGAGTTGAAAATTGGATAAGGCGAGGCAATATGGCAAGATTGAATACATAAGACAAGGCAGAGCAATAACCAAAGTATTGGTTAATGTCAAGATGAAAAAGTACACTGTAAAAAGGACCAAGCTTAGCATGACAGTGCACAAAAGTGACAACACTTTGTCATGTCAGCTGCATTGTTTATGCCTCAGATTCACAAAGTGGGATCAAAAGTATTGTTGGTTAGGATGAAAGGTTTGTCAAGTGATAGTAAGACAAAAGTTTCCTCAGATTCTGCCACAACTAAAACCTGACCCTTACAAACTCAAGGTTTGTTAGATGATTAAATCAACAAATGAATCCAAATTTGTCTCGATTGCACTCAAACAGTGCCCCCGACGTATGGCCTTCCACCGCTAGTTGCCAGTATCAGCTATGGTGTAATAGGTGTCATATCATGATTAGTCTACTATGCAAACTTGACAAAAGCTCCATGTATTCTCTCAGATTGATATTGGTTAGCCTCTGTTTTTCCTGCCTGCTTTTATGTTTGTCATATTATGTATCTTTATCTTCTCTAAGATTTCTGAAAGAGTTGGTTTTCAACTAGGTTTTACCTGAGAAGCGGGGTAATAGACACCATGAGTAACTTATTAAAAGCTTGAGTTGAGATAAAAAAAATCTTGTTTGGTCTGAGCAATGAACATTTTTGCACAGGACATTTTCCAAACTGGCTTAGAAGTATCTTAATATTCTTGTCCTCATGAGAGTTCATGATGAGAATTTAAACTCAAAATTTTCTAATCAAATTTGTAGTATGTCTGTATAAAATAATTTAATAAAAAACATGATCTTTTGGATATCAGATGAAAACTGTTCTTTATCCTCAGTAATCATTTAACTTGTTTTATTTAACACAGAATGTTACATAAAACTTAGATGTATCAAATAGCTTCAGTAATCTTATCAGTTTTAGAAAAAAAAGATAACAAAGTAAACCAGTTACCTTTAGAGAGAGAAAAGAAAGAGAAAAAATGTATCTGCATTGCTCAAGTATACATTTTACTTTCTAATTTGGCACTAATAATCAATACAATAACTGTGAAAACAGCTGCATCCTTATTCAATTCTCATAAGGATAAAAAAGTTAAATATTTGTCAGAGGGATTGAAAATAGAACGTTTATAACATACAGTCAGAAGCCAGTTCGGTCATGGACACAAGGGAGAGAGGTAGTCTGGTTCGTTTGCCCACAGGTAACAAAATCCATCTACACACACCACCACAGCTCACTGATAAACACATGTTCGGTTTGATAACCCTTTAAAAAAAAGAAAGAATAAAAATCCTGGATTTGACTGTAGCTTATGTACTGGATCAACAACTTCTTAGAGTCTCAACTGGTTGGTCAGCCAATGAATTATCATTGTGATTCTGCTCTTCCCTCGTGTCTTTTTCTTGCCATTGTAAAATACAAATGCCGTCACAGTGTCCTGATTTTTCCTATGCTCTTTTTCAAACTGCTGGAACGAGGCAGTTTTGTCTATAGCCAATAACATTGGGGAAGGTGGGAGAAAAGAGTGGCCAAAGAAGAATGTTCTTCTGCCAGAATTTAAAGACCAGGAGGATTCAATAAAAGAAGGGTAGGCAGATGTAAAAGGGCCGGCAGAAGGGACACAGACCATTAGCTTAATGACAGAATGAGGAATGAGGAATACTGAGACAAGATTCAAAAGCCAAGCAGTGCAAAATTTGCCTTTAACAAGAATCAAGGCGAGTTATCTCATAAATAGTGAAGCAAAGAGAGGTGCAAGGGGGCTCGATGCTTCTTTTTTTCTGCCTCAGGTAAAGAACAGGATAGAAAAGGATGCTGGTGTCATTAAGTTGGCCGGCTACTACTTTCAACAACATTAATGTTGTCTGCTCTGCTTTCCTCAAACTAGTAACCTTTGCTTTGAACTACTTTGTTGCTCTGTGCGAGCATACCTGACTCCAAGCTTCCATCGCAATAATGGGCCCTGAGCTGGTAATTGCACATTTTACAGTTTCTTCTGTTACCTCAAAGCAACCGAAAATCTTGTCATCAAAGCACGTACCATGCTGCTTTGGTACAAAACCAAGTCTCCAGGATTACTGAAACCACGCATTGTTGTTCTGAGTCACTAATTCAATTAATAACATACAGCTTTAAACTGACTTGAAAGAAAAACAGAAAAGCTTTTTCATGCCCTGAGGATTTCTGTTTTCTTTTTATACTAAGTTGGACGTGGTCTAACTAGCTGTCCATGAGCAAAAAAAGACTTAGCTATAAACTAATAAAACATTTATAATGATCCACAAAAAACAAGTCAGATTTAGTCTTGATCAAAGTTGAGATTCATGTCTCAAAATAGTTATATATATATATATATATATATATATATATATATATATATATATATGAGGTCTTCACCACCTACTGGCTTACACTTACAAGCTTGGAAGTCAGTGGATAAGTGATATTTAATAAGCATGCTCTCTGTTTTGTTCCCTACATTGGTATAGACAGGCCGGGGTGCTTGTCGACCGTTGTGAGCTCAGCATGAGCTGTCTGCAGCTGGCGAGCTCAGCTTGACAAGAGTCTAGGAGCGATCTCTTGACTAAAGTGTCAGATATTCCAGTTTTACACAAATGAAATGAAAAGGAGAGCCATGTCTCAGTCCGATCAAACAGATCCTTTTTCGCAAATTTAGTAAATTATCTTTGAAACAATGTTAAAAATGTATTTATCTATTTTTTTCACAAAAAAGAAACCTATCAGATATTGTGTAGGTTCACCTTGTTTTGCTTAAAAGCTCTAACTCATCATAGCAAGGATGCGTCTGTGTGTCCATTATTGACTGGGATGTGCACTGCAGATCTTTTGGGTCTTGTGTGTTTTTCTATGCTGCCTAAATGGCCAGTTCTTATATCAGTACATTATTTTTTGCCGGCATCTCTTTAGAATTTGGAGGCCATGTGAACATGTTGTTATTGTGTAAGGCTGTTGATATTTTCCTAAAATGGCCAGGATTAGGACAACAAGTGAATTCAGCTGCAAAAGCCTCAAGTATTTAAAAAAAAAAAAAACTTGCAGTCAATGCAGAGCAATATTCAACATATAATGGCAACCAGAACCTGGCTGGCCTAGGAGGATGTATTTGAGATATGTGAGGACATACGCCAGTGGTCTTACATTTGTGATTGATAGAAGTAGACTTTCTTTTGTATATTACAGCAACCAAAGCAGAGTATTTGACCGATCCTCTTAAATGACTTACTTTTTCAAAATTCAAGGTTTCTGGCTTTCATATCTTAAGTTTGTGGCAGTGTGATAGAGACAGTAAAACATGGCCGTGTGAAACGGGGTCATGGCTCCCTCAGGAAGCCCCTTCCTTCTCGCTAAAGCTCAGTCTGCCCATGAATTTAATTAGTTTCTGATATCAAGCATTTTTCTCCCATGCTTGCCTTCCTCTTCAACGTGCGTGAAATTGCACAGCATTATCTATTATTTATTCACTCTCATTTGCTTATTGTTTCCTGCGGAAGCCTTCGTTAAGGTATTTTCAGCTCTGCTGCCTGCGATATGATGCTCTGCTTCATGTTCCTCACTGCTCTGGCCCACCTCCTCTGCAGGTCTGAGTCCAACTCATTTGCTAGCGTTGGTTGGGGAGCTATAGATTTTTTTTCCCCCCTTTCACCCAATGACAGCACGGTGAGGTGGTATGAGGGCTGAGTGCTAATGAGCTGACTCTGCAATGCTGGGAGATGCTCTGTAACACAGGGGGAGTCAAAGGATTGAACGGGCCGAGACGCTCCGCCGTACGGGGAGTCAGGGGGCCATTATGACCATGTCAGACAGGGGTTAGGAGGACACACATGCACCAGTCCGTCATAAAGAGCTGTGTGTCTACAAACATGGCCACTGAACCAAACTGGGCTATTTTTATTTAAATATGACAAAGCAAGAGTAATCTGTTTTTTTCAAATACTGTCCATTTGTGTTTCTGTTGTTAAAAAAAAATCAACCTTTCAAAGTATACTTACATACAATACACATTTTACCAAAAGAAGATCATATAACTTAACAATATGAAAAAAGAAAAAAAATATGATGAAATAAGAGATAATTATAAAGTTGAATGTGCATTATCCTGCAGACTAGACATTAATTCATCCAGGATAGAATTCCTGACCTCAGATTTGTGTAACCAGAAGCATGTTAATGTACCAGATAAAAAATACAAACATGCCAACTGTTCATGTAACCGGAACATTGCTAAAGCCTAACTTCTTTGTGCACAAAAAAGTTAATTCATAGATAGAAGATTTATTTAGATTTACAGGTAACATTTTCTACCCATCGAAAGGAAAAAAAAGGCTATAGGTTTTTTTGTTAATCTGAAAATGAAAGTGACAGGACCTAACACTTAAGTGTGGCCTTTGTGAGCTCAATATGAGTTCAAAATGAACAATTCTGTGTGTTGTTGGTGGACAGAAGAAGTGGCACCCTGGACACGACTGACAAGGAGGCACACTTACATGCATGGGTGACCGAAAAGCTGTTGGAGGACTCGAGGTTGTCAACATTGTAGTTGAGATGAAAAGGCTTTTCAGTGGTGTTTTGATTGGTGTTGTAGAGTTGGACAGCGAACCTGAACGCGCTGTGCTCCTGCACCGTGGAACGCATGAACAGTCCCCCTTTGGAGAAACGAAAACCAACATCAGGCAACTCTCTCGCAGTCGCTACTGTTAGGTCAGACTCTTGTTTTGTTAAATTACGATGAACTCTACGTTTTATACACACAAAAAAAATAATGATTGACATGTAACAAAACTGCACAACTCGCGCACTGCTGAGCCGCGCGCCTGTCAGCGGAGGACATGCCGTCTCCTGTCATCTTTACAGAGAAAGACGCAACTTTCCTTCGTCAGTCTTTCCCCAGTTCGTTATTAAAATGGCAGTATGCAGTATGTGAGGGCAGTTTAGCTCGAAAACGAGGGGCTTTAATCTCGCTGCACAACCCCTGGAAAATCAACTTAGTCGGCATCATTGCGCAGAGCTCCGAGTGCAGTATCCGGTTAAAATTGAAAATACTGTATCTCCTTTCCCCCCAAACAACGTGCGACCGGTTAACAAAACGAAACACTTACCGATATTAATCTGATTGGGAAATCCAGCTAATGACCGGTCAAGGAGCCACAAGAAAAGGAAAATCACGCGTTGTGCCATTTTTCTCCGACCTATCTGTTCAACTCCTTGGAAGGGTCTGTCTGAGCAAATTCATATGTTCTGGGTCAAAACTAGGAGCAGATGGAAATCCAGCGGATAGATGATGGTCGTTCACAGTGCACCAATTCATTCATTGAGGTGCAGCCCAGCTGCGGATGATTTTTTCTTTTTTTTTTTGCAAATAAGAAAGAGAGATAGAGGGAAGCGGAAAGAGAGAGAGGGAGCGAAAGGCAGAGAGGGAAGGGAGGGGAGGGGTGGGATGGTGGGGAAGAAGGAGCTGATCTGAACTCCGATTGGACCCGTCGCGGCAGGCCAGTGTTGGTCAAACTTGATCTGACGTGAAATTAAAAAGCCTCAGCCCTCCAGATTTGGACTTTGGAATTTAGAGCTGGATTTGTAATTAAAAGCTCAACGCTGACTCAATCAGTAAACAAATAAATAAACTAAACATACTGCAATCTCAGCTGGACAAATTCGGACTTGCTCGACCGCTTCCAGCTGTGGCATCTGCGGTATTTGGAGGATGGGCGGAGAGGAGGGGTTTGCTTGTTTAAAACCTTTGCGTGCGTCCTGTGAGGCAAAAACATGCCTATGTGAGACTGACACGGTTGCAAATGAAAAGTGAGACTTTAGAAGTTACCATGTTTAATTAACTCTAAAGCTGTTTGGGTCTCGGAAAACGAAATAATTTGTGAAGCTAAAGCAACAATTAAACTATATGTGATTGATGCAATGGGAGAAAAAAAAAAACAGCCCAGAGCTTGGAATGAGACGGAGAAACATAATGTCTGGACACCCACTCACAATCAAACCCCGCACTGGCAGAAAGAGCTGAGAGAGGCAGGCAGAGCTGTCCATGGTGCTGAAGAGGAGGACGCGGTTTTTATTCATTTATCCAGACTTTCCAAACATAAAAATAGATGCAAACATTCTTTTGGAGATTTGTGATATACAACACTGCAATAAAACTCTGTGTTATTATATTTATTTGGGTTTTTACTTTGCCTCTAAAGCAACATCTATCACCCCTTTGATTCTGCTTAAGAGAGAACAATTAAGGGATTACTGGCCCATTTATCACCCTCACCAAAGCCATTTCAAAATTGAGTTTTTAATTGCATTGCACATAGCTAAGTCTTCTGATATTGATATTACAACCTGCCAAGTTCGCTTTAACACAGTGCTGCATGTATATCCTGTTCTCACTGCAAAATATGTATTTTCTTTTTAAATTAACGTCAATAAAATACAGTTGTCTCATTTAAAAGAATAAAGACAAACAAATGACTCATTTCAGGAAGTGTAGGTGAAGATGACAGCTCTACTACATTGCTGTTGATCTAGGAGGCACCATTGAATAATACTGTAACAGATGACAATGGGAAAGATTAGAGAAATTAGAAGGAATTTTGAGGTTGGCTGATTTTATTTTATATTTCAAATCATAAGTGATTCTGCACCTGAAGGCATGCTATCCATCAACAGGACTTAGTAATCAAGAGGAGAGATTTCTTTTCCGATCCGGGTCAACGTTGATGTCTATTCCAACAATTTATAATGTCTCTGGGGACAGCTAAGCAGTGACATCCCGCTGATTCTCCGGTCCCTGCAGAATTTGTCAGAGTTGTGGTATGTTGCCTGCTGACCTCTGCGGCTGAAGTCATAAGCAGCATCAGCAGTCCATGTCCTGCAGACTTCTGTGATCTGCTGTTTCCAATACACCACATTACACCCTCATCTCAATGGTGACAGCTGTCTGAGATGAAATAACACAGTGAATTGAACGGGTACAAAGGGAGATGTTTAGTCACTCTTTCACAGTGCATGCTGATTTCCCATCAGAACAGATTTAATAGTGCCTAATTTTCCAACAAAACTCTAGGAACAAAATAAAAAGAGAAAAGAAAAAATATACTTTATCAAGCGACCCTGAGCAGTTCAGATAAGGCTCTTAACCAAATTGATTTTAGATTATGGTGATTCTATTGCTTTATTTGTAATTAGGACATTTTGGTCACGCCATATTGTCCTCATGGCCGGGCGTCAGCAGGAATTCCATTTTCTGACATGTACAATTTCACAGATTGATCTATACAAAAAAAAAACAGATAATTATAAGCTATGCCTTTTAGGATTTGAAAACAAACACACAGGAGTGTTACTCAGACAGGCGTCATGGAAAGGCTGAAACCAAACAGACGAAAAGATGTTATCTTTTTTATCTCAAGATGATGATTCATCAAGTCAGAGATGCACCAGTAACAATTATTCAGTTGGTCCCTGTGTTCTCTTCCTCTCACAGCACAGTCAAATCTTCATCTTTGCCTGTTTTAGAACACATGAGATTTTTATTTTAGATTAAAAAGGAAAAAGGAGAGCTTCTGTCTCAATGGGAGTCGAGAGTCAATGAGTGCAATTATTTTTAGGCTTGATTTGCTCATGATTACTGGATAATTATTCCGTCATCTTGACATTACAAGCTGTATTTTACTTTGATCACAAAGTAAGCTTGACATGTACAGGACAGAATACTGTACTTTTAAAACAGATTAAGTTATTCTCAGTTTAGTGCTGAAAATATTCCAAAAGAAAAAATCAGGCCCAAAATTAACCCAAAACCTAAATGCCTATGATTAGGAACTTCCAGATCAAAGACTTTTGGCCATAGCTGAACTGCAAGCTTACGATAACTCTTTGGTAAACAAAATATATATGAATTATTTGTAATATGCACCCAAAATATTTTTTGAGTATTAGCACAGTTGCCATTACTTACTTTACCCGAGGCAATTAGCCAAAATTCATATAATTGAAGTCTGTATCGTGTCCATGAGGTAACCTATGGTGACTTGTAAACATAGGTTACTCCATCTTTCTGCTTTTTAGAAAGATCCCTTTGCATTTTAATAGATTTGTAGAGAGGTTTGATCATCAAGTGTGATAATCTTGATTGGGAAATTTATATCACATTCCTTTCTAGTAAAAGAAATGCCCATGTTGTTGAATGTTTAGTATGGGCCAGGGCCTGCATTCAGTGAAGTGCTTGGTTTGTTGGTTTATAAGGGCATATGTGTGGGGACGTGGGGATCTGCTGGAGATTTTCTGCACTTTAGCATGCACAGTAAAAATGTCTTACTGTCAAGTTGAAAGAAGCAGCTGGCAGCTCCGTGTGAATAGGAGCCAGCACATGACTGTTTACATCCTCCCCAGGTTGACTGTGGGGGGTTAGTTCAGCAGTTCCTTGGGGATTTGGCCTTTAAATCTGAAGGAAAAAGGGTAGAAAATAGCAAGAAAAACAACCATAGAAAGGATACAGATGTGTATACTCGAAATCTTTGGCCATCAAATAAATATTGTACGAGTTTTGACTAAGGGAGATAAATAAAAAATATTTTTTTGCAATCAAAGCAAAACACAACAGCCCCATCCTGATGATGTCTGCCTGTTGTGACATGAACAAAAGATGCTCAGGAAGGCACATCTGGTGAAACCGTCCTCATGCTTGATCATGACCAACATTTGAAAAATATTGATCTGGACAAAATAACAAATCTAGACCAAGCTTTAAACTCATTCCATTGTTTGCAATATGTAAAGATTTGACACTTTCTGTCAACAATGATTTAGATTTAGGAAATATAAATTCTGCAAAAGATTATGATTCAGTTAAAGATTTAGATACTTAATAGCTTGCAAATGCAACCATTTTTTGACTATGCAATATTTCAGCAAGGCTGGTCGTGACATAATTAATTTCCTTGCTCACATCTGACTCACCTCACCTTTCAGTTTCTTCTCTTCCTCCCCTTGTCTGTGCTACCTCACATCAATCCTGCCCTGCTGAGGAGCTAATTTCAGTAATCATAGAAATGGGTTCCTCTGGTGAAAGACACATAATGAGAGGGGCTGAATTTGTATTGTAGGAAGGATGCAGTTAAACAAGCATTATGCGGCTCAAACTCAATGATATTTGGAGAGCTGTAGCAAGAGCCCATCAGTCTCAGCCAGATGTTGAAGGTTGATAAGAGAGTCTGCTCTCAAGGAGCTCTTCTTTATTCTGTCAGTGTCGCCTTCAATGAAAGAAACCGTGGGTAGGCAGTGCCCTATTGAGATAGAGATGCACCCTCTATTGTTGTGGACTCACATAGAGGTGGGGAAAAAAATCTAGCTGAACAAAATATTCAGTGCATTTACTGTACTTAACTGAAATCTAATTTTGTCAAGAAAGTATAAATAATCTTATAAAATTCACAATATAACTAATTGGCTGGACACTCATGTAGGCATGGGGAAAATGTTTCATGAGGAACAAAATAAGTGGTATGACATGGTCAGATGATAAGCAAAAACAGCCTACTGTCATTGCATCTGAATGCCATGATCAGCTGCATAACAATCAAATCATGTGTAGAATGCCTGCAGGAAACATTTCCATTGTCCTGACAGTGACACAAGTAGTGTTATCAGCTACAAAGGCTGATAGACTTGGTCTCAGAAGC